GTCCACTCGTTTCCGAGTTGGAGCGAATTCCTACCCATGGTGGAATTCGCCATCAATAATTCGGTGCATGCTTCAACACAGCACACACCGTTTTACGTGAATGGCCTACGCCATCCACGAGTGCCCACCCTTATAGAGTCTGACTCTTGGATAAGTTGGGGAGGGACTCGCTCGAGCAAAAACCGTTTTGGCTCTTGTTCATCACGTGTCGACGTTAACGTCGTCACGTATGATGCCGATGTCGATCAAGTCGACATCGATGAAGAAGATCATCTCAATAATAGCGATGACGCTATTATTGATTCGGATGATGATGAAGATGCTGGTATGTTCAGCATCGCCAACGATTATGTCAGCGAGGAAGAAGACAACCTCGCTGAAGAAGAGAGCAATCTCTTAGCAATGCGCACGAAGCGCACTGCCAGACAAAACAAAGGGTCAGCAGAGAACTTCCTGCTGACTCGAGAAGCGGTAGTCCGTTTCGTTCAGGACTCCATCGCAAATGCGGTGGACCGTCAGAAACGGAACGCAGACAAGAATGGAAGAGCAAATGTTCTTTCATTTAAGGTTAATGACCTAGTACTACTGTCAACGGTAAACCTACCTGGACATGCAGTTACTAGTGTCGGCAGTAGTAAACTACTGCCGAAATACATTGGGCCATTTCGAGTGTTGCATCGCAAGGGAAATGCATACACACTCGAATTGCCACGTAGGATGCGCACGCATCCTACGTTTTACGTGGGGAGGCTTAGGTCGTACTGTCAGTACGAGCCTTCTTCTTCCGATGAAGATAGCCCCCACGTTCAAGAACATCAATCAAGTTCTTGCGTTCGCGCTCCAGACGATCCGTCTGGTCGCGCAGATATGATACCTCGGTATTCAACCGAGTTATCTCTCCGCGAGCTGTCGCCAGCTCGCCGAAAAGGGAGCGGACATCCCGCTCGACCTGAAGCTGCGCCGTGGCATAATCGGCGCGATCCCTCGCCCGATCAGCCTCGTGACCCTTGCGGTTCTTCCGCACGGTGTCGGTCAAAGCGTAGCGTCGGTCGCGCTCGTGCTTCAAGTCATCGCGCAATTCATCGATTGCGCGATCCATCTCGTAAGGGTCGAGGTGGTGAGCAGAATCATCTGGACGAGGTCTTTCCTCCTCCACCACATCCTATGGTGGATGCTCACGGTGATCAACGCTTTCTAGTGGAGCGTATCTTGAATCACCGTGACGATTCAGGATCAAGGACGAGCTACCTCGTCCAGTGGCGGGGGTATCCACCCTCTTGGAACAGCTGGGAGCCCCGCTCTCAGCTGTTGATGGATGTTGAAGGTCTCGTCCGCCAGTATGACGAGACCCATCCGATGAGTCCTCGGCCCATCGGTAAACACGCGCCCTAGGCGCTTGTAGACGGATTGCAAGTTTGCAATCGCGTCACGCATCTCAGCCGAGATGTGTGCCCTTCCCCAGGGCGAATTTAGGGAGTACACATCCCTATGTGCACGCTGCGACTTGTCAACACAACTCGCACAAGGGTCTCCCCATGTGAGGCAAGGAATGCCTGCCTCACTAGATAAACAATGCAACCGGTACCTAGCACCGGTTGGCGTTCGCCGTTCGAACCTGAGGCGTGTTGCCTCAAGTTTCTTGAGCCACCCTTCTCGTCCAAAATTCTTCACGTTTTGGACGAACGCGTTACACGCAGCCAAAAGCGATGTTTTGTCACGCTTTTGGTTGCCAGTGTACCATCGATGTCTAAGAAAGACATCGAGATAAAAGTCTTCTTCAGCGCGAAAGTTCTTCGCGCTGGAACTCAAGCCGTGAAGCTCGGTTGCATCGAATAAGGGTATTCGATGATGTTGGCCTGTCTCGTGAGACAGACTATTGATGAGCCGTTCAGGCAAACGCCACGGCTTCAACTCATCACTCTTCACGGTGGTACCCTTGTCGGTACCACGATTGTCAGTATGACGATGGGTTGCACCATCGTCAAGTCGCTCGTGCGAAGGAGCACGAGCTGATTGCGGTAATGAGCAAACATACTCATCACCCGATTCGTCATCACTGCCGAACAGACTGTGTTGCAACTCACGAGTCCGTTCGTTCGGCAGTGGCCTTGGCGAACACTGAGGCGTCGCCGGTGAGCGAGACGCCTCTGGAGCATTGCCCGAGTCAGACACGTCTGACTCGCCAGAGTAGATGACCTCCACATCGGGGTCATCGTGCGCACGCGGCGTGATACCGCGTGCACCTGCAGCACCTGTTGCTGCAGGCGAAGAAGGGGCGGCAGACGACGAAGCGTCTGCCGCAGAGGCTTGCACAGCACCAGGCTGTGTGGATCTTGAGTCACCTCGCATAGACATGTTAACTATGCGAGGTCAAGCGGAAAGTGAGTGGAACGGACCAAACAAGTGCTCCCTGTCCCAATGGTGGCCAACGGGTGGCCTCCATATTTCGATAGTCACACGGTGACTATCAGTTAAGGGGGGTGATGTGACGGGGCAGCCCGTTACATGGAATTGTCACTTTAAGGAAAGTGACAATAAAGGATATAAAGATGGATATTCTTTAAACAATATCACCAAAGTGGTGATATTGAAGGGTCGACAAAAGGGTCTGTTCATTGGTTGATATCGTGATGATATCAACCCACCAATCGCCGCAAGACGCGCGCAATGAGTGGTGACGAGACGTCACCATACATGCAGTTATATTAGTATAATTGAATTAAGTCAAACGAAGAGACAGTAGTTTAAAGACTTAATTTATTAATATAACAGTTCTACTTTTACCCTACCTACGCTTCCTCGCTCGCCACGTGTACGTCTGTCGGGGCACCCAAATCCCTTGCGTTAAGTTACGCAAGGGTGTGCCCCGTTACACGCACGAGATTGACTAAAGAGCTGTCGAAGGCTAATAGTGCAAGTAAATCATATGGTTGATTTATGGACGGAAGAGGCGCCGAACCTCTGGCACCACGCCATTAGCAATTGCAGCAGCATCACACACTACTACCGTCCGCTCAACAACCATCGATTGCACCAGACAGAGTTAGAAAGAGGAGGTGGCAGCTGCCTGTAGACATGCTAGAAATTTCAGTGTCGTCAGGGAGTAAACGAAGCCTTCCGACGAGGCGCTGTGCACAGGTCAATTGCTCTAGTCGTGTTATTTTTTAATTTTGACTGCAGTAGCTGGTTACCAGGCGAAGTCTCAGCAAGTGAGCCTACTTTTGTTGTAGATTTAGGTGACCAATACTGTATTCACCTGTACGCCCTCTCCCGAGTATGTTTTTTTCTCTTCCTTTATCGTTATGACATGTCGGTATGGCAGCTTTGCGTGCAGCAGAGATATTCTCTTAGAAACAAGTACAACTTCTTCACGACGCGAAAACTTTCTTGTGGGTAGAGTTAGCTTTGACGACAAGTGGATTTGCTGTGGCTAATGACAAGGTGGATTCGCTGTGGTTGTTGGTAGCCGTCACGGAGAAGTTCTCTGTTCCGATCGACAAAAGACCAGGGTAGCTGATGGGGCGACATTTTGATATGTACAACGCCTCGATTTAAGTAAAACGAAGGAAAAAAGTTCAAACTAGGAAGCTGTTGGCCACCCTTCTCCGCTTGGCGGCAGAGGAAGCTCACCCATATGTATCGCATCATATCGTAACTTCATGCCGTCGGTCGTATACTATTGTTGTCGTTGCTCAGGCAAGAGCAGCCGTCAATTGTCTCACTCTCATCATTTCTCTGAACGCCCATAATACAGGTTGAGTCGATACATCACGTGACAAACGCGGTAGCAATGCACACGACCCGTCTCTTGCCGCAAATAATATCATTCGATAGAAGCGCGCGACTAAAAGATTCTCATTCATCTGAAGACTGAAGAACCGAAATTCACGGGCGAGCCCCAGAGCTTCGTTCCTCATTTGTTAAAAGGAGCCAAAATCTATCAATAAATCCCTTAACGATGTGCAAACCTAGTCTGGAAACACACGGTTTCCAGCACAAAGAGATAAAACAGATGCTGATGCAGATCGATGCGGCCTGATCGAGGCTTAGACGGTGTTTCTGCAGGGCAGACGGAGGAGCACAATGTGATCGCATCGACGCACGTTGTTATCTTGATGGTGCCATACACGAGGGGAGAAGGTACGAGTAGCAGATTCCAGACAGGTGTTAGTACTGAGGATATACAGTGGCGGAGGTACAAGTACCGGCAATCGCTTAATGCCCAGATCAGGTGTTGAGCTCAGCTTGTTACAATAAAGGTACAAGAAACGGATAGATTTGTCTATTCATCTGTCAGAAATCCAGGACGGATGCTGGAGGCCGAAATGCCCGTTTCTGCGTCATCACATGTCCTAGGCGACCATTGGCTTAAAAGCGTGTCCGAACGTGACGTGACTGGCTGTAAGTCCCATCTGGATCGACTCTGATCGTTGAAGACCATACATAGCTCATCAGGTCTATTGGAGACGCAGACGGGCGGGACGTACCTGTCTCGTATTCGACAGCTCTTTCTACCGCGCTGCCCCACGTTGCGGTATTGTGCGGCTACGCTCATCGCAAGCGTCTGCCTACCGCCCACCACACGGTCGCGGGTCAAGTGAGCCCGGCCATGGCACACGATGCGCTGCTTCTTGTTCGACACTGGCCATTAGCTTCCCCCATCCCTGGTCGCGCAGCAACATGGCTCGTACGTGCGGCGCAGGTCTGCATCTAGTCGGGGAATGTTTAACCAACACCGGCAGCACTCGTGCCCAGTGTTGGGCCTCTGCTGAGCTGAATGTCCTACGCTGCGTGTCCCACGCTCTTCGGATGGGCAGATCCGGACAAACGCTGCGCGCCACTTGATTCTCGAGACGTGCAAAGCGCGCCACGCCACTGGCGTCTCACGTCGGCGGAAGCCTGAGCGTCCCTGCGTCTCATTGCCAGACTTTCCATCTACCCCTCAACCAGCCACCGCCCGCCTCCGTTTCGCTCCCCACTTTACTTTGTGCCCACTCACGATGAAGCTCGCTGTCATTCTCTCTGCTGTGGCCCTCGTCGCCTTCGCCAGTGCCAACGACTTCAACGACCAGTACGAAGTCAACGACCAGAACGACCTCCACGACGACCACGACGACAAAAAAGGCGTCGCCAATTCCGCGAACCCATCTATCTGCAACGTGGCCGAACTCGCGAAGATCTTGAAGGACCCAAACACGGCCACATGCGCCTCCAACTCTGGCTACGCTATGACCGCGTTGACTGTCCCCACGCCTGAACAAACGGCCGTGATGTGCGTCAACGTGGCGTGTCAGAATGTGCTTCAGAGGGTCGAGAGCATTGCGCCGGAAGAGTGCCTTCTGGCCAACTTTCACCTGCATCGCGACCTCATCGATCCTCTGGACATGGCCTGTGACGACGGCCGACCAGTAAACGGCCTGACGGGCAAGAGCGGCACCAACACTACGGGCTCGAACCCGACGAACCCTTCGGGCGGAAACGTCGTGACCCCCACGAACCCGAACGTCGCGAGGCCTTCGACCCCAAACGTTCCACGCCCTCCGACTTCGGGCGACACGCCATCTGTGGAACAAGACACTAACAGCCCCGCGACTGGCCCATCGGATCTTGACCCCACTCCCGCTCCACTTACCCCGAGCGGCTCGATCACGACTACCTCTGGATCAGTATCTGGCAACAATGGCGCGAGCGTGGCCACGGTCCTGGTTGGGGCCGTCGCGACTGCCATCGTTACCATGTTCTTCTAAGCACTGTTGTCATTGCAGCTCCGCTGCAGAGAATACATGAAGTCTCCCGAGCAGATGGGCAGCTACTTCGCGTAGTTTTTCACCGTACAACTCGGAGGCTAATCAATTGCACACCACGTTTCTATTGCGATCGCTCTCATGCGTTTTTGTGCGTAACGCCATTACACCTGCGCAAAAGCGTGTCTGCCCGCACAGAGTGTTCAATGAGGCGTCATACGGGCTCTACAAAGCCTCGCGAGTAAAGAGATGAGGCGACGACTCGCGAGCCTGTTGCGCTCTATTATTACCTGCCGTCGAGCCGTCCTGGCAAGAGCTCACTTTGCCTGCTGCAATGCCCCACTACTTACGTAGGTTATGCTACGCCCGTACTCTGAGCTGTACCTCGTTGCGGCAGTGTTCTCGCCCTCGTGCGGCCTTCCTATCCTTTGTCGAGTTTCGAAGTAGCCACGACGACATCCGGCAAGAGCTCCGTTGGCAACGACAGTAACAGTGCCAGAGAGGTCCGTTTAAGGCACCACCACGACAGCTCTACCTCTTCTATTGCCACCTCCTCTGCCGTCAGCACCTGCCGTCAGCATTGCTCAAAGTCGCCTTCTTCGCTACCGTATGCATTCCAACTGTCGCCTTCATGAGTCGTCACTAGGGCTTCTCCACGCCGCTCTGTAGATTCGATGCGGGTTCGCTCACGACGTCGGATGCTGCACGACAGTCACCAACAGCGACGCAGACTGACGACGCTTCCTCCTGCAGCGGCAACGTGACGCAATCGCGAGCAGCGACAAAAACGATGCAATGCCCATGTCCTGAGCGTGACAACGAGTGCTTCACCACACCACCAGCAGCAGTAGCGATTCCCATACGCCGACCACATTCTCTCTCTAGCGGATTCGACGGTCCATTCGCTCCTTGTGGACGTCTGTGCGATGCCTGAGCTCATTGTGGCGCTTTCTGCCGTCGTTCTGTTCGTGCTGGCGGCGCTCGTCAATGTGTAGTAGCGGTCGAGTTCGAGGCGCTCTATGTGACGACTCGTTGATGTCTTGCGCGTGGGATCCGGAAAAAGACCAGCGGCTCGATAGGCCGTCGTTTGCTGCAGCCACTGACACGCACACGTGACGAGGGACACTGCGGGCGCGAAGCGCTTGTGGGGAACTCGGGGCTTCGTGACGGACAGCTCTGGCGCAATGGCAGTCGAACGACCGGATCTGTCTGTGCCCACTGACCTCAATCGACTGCAACATGAGGTCGTCCTTCGACGCAGTCGCTTCGGCCGAGTAGTGTCGTGGACACTATCGCTCCGAGACCTGACCCCAACGCAGCCATTAAGACGCTGGTGCTCGGCGCTGGGCGTGTGGCGTAGTGGTGCTACGGAAGGCGTCTGAAGCAGGACGGGCAAGTGCGGTATGATGCAGAGATGCGCCCGAGAGATGCGCTCCAGGCGTGACCGGCCGCGACAGACCGAAGAAACACGCAGCAATCGCCACGTACTGAGAGAGCTCTCTCTCACACACACACACACACTACAGCGCGTCACGTTGTGCCAATTGCTCCCCATCGTTATCGAAAGAACGTTCGCAGAGCGGCGTCGATGTCGAACGCACGTCAAACAAATACAATTGTAGCACAAAAAAGCCACAGCGTGTTGCGATGCTCGACACCTTACGACGACTAACGTGCTGGAGACCACTTGACTTGCGGCATACGCTCGTGAAAGAAGAGCCCAACTACAGGAAGAGCGCAAATGTAGCGACGACAGCTGATCCCAGCAACGAGGCCGACGAGAGTGTCCCAGCAGCGCTGCGGCTAGCGGCGTCCGGGACATTACTATGGTCCACCGGGTCCGAGTCACTCGGCGCACCTCCTTTTTCAATCGGCAAGACAGAGTCGTAGTCGGAAGACGGAGGCGCAGTCGTACTGGACAGGTCCCTACTGCCCGAGTCAGAGGCGTCTACCGTCACGTCTTCGTCCAAGTCGGTCGAAGCTGTCGAGTCGTTGTACTTGTCCGAGGACATTGAGCCATCAAATGGGGTCAACGACGTCGAGTCGTTGTAGCTGATCAACGACGTCGAGTCGTTGTAGCTGATCAACGACGTCGCGTCACTGAAGTTGCCCGCGGATACCGAGTCGCCGGAAGAGCCACTGGGTAGCGTCAACTCGGCACCCAACTCGAGCAAAGATGCAGTCGCTTCAGTCAAGTTCGACTCGGACGTGACGTCGTCCAGCGTCCGAGAAGTAGTAGTGGACGCCGATGACGCCAACAAGTCCGTGTCGGTCGGAGCGACAATGAGTGCGCTCGAGTTGGAGCTACCCAAGCAGTGCGTCGTAACGGGTGTGATAAGTCCAGCGTGAAGCGCAAACGTGTTATGCGTACACTCCTCCGGGAACATGGCGGTCATTAAGGACAACATGGTCTGGCACGCGACGTCCGAGCACATGGTCTCTAGTTCTGCGGGGGTCGGAGTCCTGAGCGAGGACGGAGAGTACCCTGAGCCGCTGGCACACGTCGCGACGTCGCTAGACGTCAACAAGGTCGACATGGACGCAGTGTTGCAGTTGCCAGCGTGCACAACGGCAAAGGTCAAGACGGCAGCAATGGGCAAAGACGTAACGGCCTTCATCGTCTGTCAAGGCTGGAGGACGAGGACGTGTATCTGCGAACTGGCCGGCAGATGCGGTAATGGACACGCGGGAGCGAAGTGCAATCGACGGGCAGGTGCAGTTCAGCGCGCTGACTACCGATGCAGCAGAGACATAGGGAACTCGAGGAAGATGACCATATTGCCAGCTGGGACGGCTCGGGTTGAAGTGAGTACACACACACACACGCACGCGCGGACGGACCCTCTGCTTGTCTTTGCACTTGTTGTCTCGACACGTCGACGAAACGCAAGTACCGCATACGACGATGCACTGACGCGAGGCCGAGTTTCGCAACGAGGGGACGTTGGCCTCGGCGTTGTGCCCTTGGACTGCTACACTACCGTCTCAATGTGCGCCTGTGGTGGAATGGCATTGTCTCGTGGCTTTGCTGGTGCGTGGAGAAAGGATCAGCGCAATGGACGGGCGTCAGCTGGCGGATAAATCACTTGCTCTTCACAAGATGTCGGCGTTAGTACTCAGAGGTATGGGACACAGTCGGCCACACGCCAGAGACCGTTTGGCGACTCTCGAAAGGCTCATTCGACACGTCCGCTTCTCTCTCTACATATGACTTCTTGGCCTCTCTCTATATGCAAAACGTTGTCGAGACGCCTCCACTGCCACTGTCGCTGCAGCTTGAGAGACGATCAGCTCGTTGCGTCGCTTCGCTTCTGCAACAAAGTCGGACAACTCGTGTGCGGCCGCAGCTGTGTCAACTCGATACGCGCACAGAAACCCGTCGACACGTTCGCAGCCGGACGTCTGCCATCCCACAGTGCTTCGGTCACTCCGCAGTCGACGTAGTGAGACGTCAGAAGTCGGCGGGTGAAATGGAACTGGTGATGCCGTCGCTGTCACGCTCAGGACACGTGCAGTTGCACTGTTTGTGTCGTTGCTCGTGATTGCGTCGTCACGTGGCTGCTGCCCGAGAAAGCGCCGTCAGTCTGCGTCGTCTTTTGTGACTGTCGTGCAGCATCCGACGTCGTGAGCGTATCCGCATCGAATCTGCAGAGCGGCGTGGAGAAGCCCTAGTGACGACTCAGGGAAGGCGACAGTTGGGATGCAGACGGGATCTGCAAGAGCGAATGCAGTCGAAGGGGGCCGTATCGTTGACGCACGAGCTCAGGTCCGCGACCTGACGGACGTTTGCACTACTTTGTCTGCACAGGTCCATGGAGACGGCCGGAGAGCAGCAGCAGCAGCTGTTGTCGTTGAGGTGAGTTCGCTCTGGTGGCGTCGCGAGCGCTGGCGCAGTGGGGAGATGAAGAGAAGAGCGCAAAGGAGCCGTCTCTCACGTAGCCGCTCGTGGCTGTGCTGCAGTGCTTGGGCCACTGACGGAACAATCGAGCAGGACTACGAACTGGCAGTCTCGTTAATTAGCGCACACGTATGCAGCCGCCGTCGCTGTCATCGCGTCGGGCGCCACACTACTCACTGAGCGAAACGCAGCCGCTTTACTGTCCCTGGCGCTGGCGCGGCGCACACTTAATAATGTCGTCTACTCTGAGGATCATCTCGGCTGCCTCCGCTGCTGAGAATAGCACCTGCTTCTTGCTCTTCAGTGCTTCGCGGATGCCCAGCGACTCCATGTCGCCCACGCAACCCGTGCGCATGTCCAGACCAGCAGTCGTCTCCCCACGGTGGTGGGCCGCGCGAAGCTGCGTCACGAGTTCCGAGCTGTCGTACCCGCCGTTGTCAGCGATGATGCTGGGGAGCTGTCGCAGCGCACGTGCAAACGCCTCCATCGCCAAAGCCTTTTTGCCAGGCACAGACGGTGCCTTGTTGTCAATGGCCTGCGCCATCAACACCTCTGTGCAGCCGCCGCCCATCACAGTCTGCGAGTGCTTGACGGTCTGCGTCAGCACGGCCAGCGCATCGTGCAGTGAGCGCTCGGCCTCGTCCAGCAGGTGCGAGCTCGCACCACGCAGCACAACAGAGCAGGCCGAGCCCGTCTTGACGCCGGAAAACCGCAGCAAGCGGTCCTCGCCGATGATGATTTCTTCAATCAGCTTGCACTCCCCGAGCTGCACAGCGTCTGGATTGTCAAACGTCGACGCGATCTCGCCGCCCGTGACCGCCGCCAGGTGCTCAATGCCGTCAAAGTCAGCGTGTTCAATGGCCATGATGCCCTTGTCCGAAAAGATCTGCTCGGGGTAGTTGTAGATGAGCTGTCGATTCACAAAGCAGTTGATGCCAAAGCTGGCGATCTTCTCCACCTTGGCTTTCATTCGCGCCTTCTCGGCGTCTTCGATTGCCGAGACCTTGTCCATCGAGTCCACCTTGACGCGCGCGCCGTAGATCTTGATCTTGTCCGTGTCCATCCCCGTGTTCGCGACCAGGATGCGGGCATTCTCAATGCGCTTAGGCTGCCCCACGCCAATCTTCTTGTCCAGAATGAAGCCCTCGTCCAAGTACGACTCGCGCAGCGAGCCACCAGCTTTCTTGATGATCTGGATGTAGTCCAGATTGCTCGATCCACGCAGACGTAGCACCGCGTCCACTGCTAGCTTGGCAAAGTGGTCCTTCTCGTAGGTCAAGAGCTTGGAGCTGAGCGTCGTGCGGGCAATGTTCATGAGGTCCTCGCGGAACTTGTCGACGTCGTGCGAATTGTCCTGGGCCGACGCCAAGAGCGCCTCCGTGGCCGTGGTCAAGGCGATGCGCCAGCCATCGATGATCGTCTGCGGGTGAATGCGCTGGTCAATGAGCTTCTCTGCCTCGCGCAGCAACTCGCCGCAGAGAACCGCGACGCTCGTGGTCCCGTCGCCCACCTCCTCGTCCTGCGTCTTGGCAATGTCCACGAGCACTTTGGCGGCGGCGTTGTCCACGTAGACACTGCGCAGGATCGTCGCGCCGTCGTTCGTGACGGAGATGCTCTTGTCGGGGCCGCCCATGGACTGCAGGATCTTGTCCATGCCCTTGGGGCCCAGCGTCGTCTTGACCATGTCGGCGATCGCGATGGCGCCCACGAAGGACGACATGCGGGCGCTCTCCCCCTTTTCCACCTGCGACTCGGGGTCGAGCACGGCTTGCTGCATCTTGACTAGTGCTGCTGCGACTGTGACTGCTGTTGCTGTTGCTGCTGCTGCTGCTGGGCGACGACGGAGACGGGTGACCTGCTGGTTCGCTCGGTTTGTATGGAGCTGCTCGCTTTGGCCTCGGAGATCCTGTGTTTGAGGAGCCTGCGGAAACGCATGAGAAAAGCGATTCGACAGTTTACTGACGGTCGTCGCCTGCTGTGCACACGTTTTGGTCAAAAAGCTCGTCGCTCGAAAGGACTGGACGATTTCGATAGAGCTCCCTATTTACGGTTAGCTCGACGGACTCATTTAGCGCCTCTAGATACCACTCGATGACGTTCCGTCTCGGGACAACGCCACAATTCAACTTGCGTACGTCAAACGCTCAGACCCGTTTGCTGCGGGATGCACGCGCGTATCACCACTTTGCACTCGGACTTTTTGCATTGGCTTTGCTCTTCTCTTGTGCAGCTCCACGCTGCGCACTCGGATACGATGACGCCGGAACGCTACGTACCGAAAGTCTGCAATGCGCTGCGGCTACAGTTCTCGACGCCCGACTCGACCCAACGCGTACACGCAACAACTTTCAGTCGCTCACTTGTAGATATTAGTTTTCCAATTAGACGGCAGAGCATAACTCGTCGCTCTGCCCGTCGTACATGTCCTGGCATGTCGTAGACACACTGCAGCTATGTAACTGCGTGCCTTTTGGTAGTCGCTCGTAGCGCTCGAGCGCAGCAGATGCGCTTTCGTCGTCGTCGCATTGCGACAGTCGCAACTTCACCTGTCCTGCCTTTGCCAGTGCGCCTTGAGCAATGCGAGACGAAGCTGCAGACGAATGGGGTCCGAAGCCGCATAGTCCATCGGCGTGCGGCCTTCGTGGTCCACGCAGTCAGGATCAGCGCCTGCCGCCACGAGCAGCTTCAGGATATCGCCCAACCCGTTCGCAGCCGCGCTGTGCAGCACTGTGGTTCCATCCGTAGACTGCCTCGCGTGAACGTCCGCGCCACGCGCCAGCAGCAGCTCCACCACATCCGCCCGTCCTTTCGCCACGGCTCCCCGCAGAGGCGTCGTCTTGTTCGCGCCTGACGTCGCTTCGAGCTCGGCCCCGTGATCCAGCAACAGCTCCACAACGTCCGCATGACCGCAGTGTGCGGCGATGAAGAGCGCGCGCAGATCGTTGCGCGTCGGTGCTTCGAGGTGGGCCCCGTGCCGCACCAGTTCACGCGCAACCCCTGCGTGGCCGCGCTCAGCCGCAATGTGCAGCGCCGTCATCGCGGCCGGACGCTTGCCGACGTCCACGTTGGCATTGAAGGACAGCAAGCAACGCACCACATCGCCGTGACCTGACTCGGCTGCCAAGTGCAGCGGCGACATACGGCGCCGTGTGCACACGGCGTCGACGTCTGCGCCGTTCAGGAGTAAGCTGTTGGCCACAGTCACGTGGCCGTACTTGGCCGCGTAGTGCAGCGCCGTGTAGCCCGACGTTCGCGTCGCAGCGTCGACCTTTGCCCCGCACCACAGCAGGTGCAGCACAACCGACAAGTGCCCGTTTCGAGCCGCGAGCACCAACGGAGTCGCCAGCGTTTTCCCATCGAGCGCCTCAATGGCTGCTCCGCGAGCAAGCGCGTGCTCGACCATCTGCAGGTAACCGCGCTCTGCGGCACAGCACAGCACACGCGACGCTGCATCGGGCAAACTCGCGGCGCACTCGTCATGCACGAGTAGCAGCCGCACAATCTCCACGTGGCCCTGTCGCGCTGCGAGCGTAATGGGGTGTCGGGATGGCCCGAGGGCCGCGAGATCCGTCGGCGACCGCGTCAGCAAGTACTGCACCATGTCCACGTGGCCGTTCGTCGCTGCAAGACACAGCGCCACGAGGTCCGACCGGCAGCTCGAGGCCTCGTTCTCCAGCTCCTCCAATGTCCGATGCTCGACTGAAGACGCTTCAGCATGTCCATCGCTACCGTCCATTGCCACCGCAGCGACTTTCCTGCGTCTTCGGCCGCCCTGTCGTCGACGAGCGCCGTCCGCTGCAGTCTTCGAACGACCGCCGCTTGCCGCGAGGTACTCCCTCGTCACTGCGTCCACGTGCGCGCCACGAGCAATCAGTAGCTCTGCCATGTGCACATGGCCCTTCTCAGCTGCGCGGTGCAATGCAGTCGTGCCGCGCTCAGTGGCCGCATCGACGTCGGCCCCGCGGTCGAGAAGCAGTGCAGCAACGTCGACGTGTCCCTGGTATGCCGCTTCATGCAGCGGAGTCGAGCCCGCGACGGTGCAGTCGTCGACGCGCAGGCCCTGGTCGACCAGGTACGCGGCCACTGGCACAGAGCCGCACGCTGACGCCAAGTGCAGTGCGGTTGCCCCGTTGGGCAGCACAGCCGACAGCTTCGCGCCGCGCGCGACGAGCACTTGGACCGTCTCGAGCTGTCCGTGTCTCGCTGCAACGTGCAGTGGAGTGGCGCCGTTCTTCGGGTCGCTGGGCACGACCGCGTCCTCCGTCGCGCGAAGCGGCTGCCCAGCGAGTGAGTCCGGCCGCGACCACGTGGACGAGCGGCTGCCGTCGCTGTCGATGGCGCTGCCGTCGCTGCCCGTGGAAACGCCCGAGTCACTGGCCACGACAGACGCGACTGACGCGCGGGCATGCGACTCGGACTGGACAGTCGGCTCCGGTCGGCTCTTGTTCCAAGCACAGGGCGACAACGGCGACGACAATTGGGACGGCCGACGGCCATTGTGCGGCCAATGGTCCGGGGCGTGTTGGAGCTGTTTCTGGAGGAAGTGGGCCGCGCTCGCGTGTCCGTTCGTCTCGGCAATGAACGCCGCGTCGTTGCCGTCGACGTCCCGCGCGCGCACGTCTGCTCCCTGTGACACGAGCGTCTGCACGAGCGTGAGCGAGCCGACCCAGGCGGCAAACATGAGCGCCGTGAACCCCTCGGGCGTCGCGCTTTCCAAGTGCGCTCCCGCCTGCAGCAGCTCCTGCACTGCGGCATCGTGGGCTCCGACGCACGCGAGATGGAGCGCTGTGAAGCCGTCTTGGTCGGCTGCGTCGAGCCACGAGGCCGACAGAGACAGCGGCGGAGGAGACAAAGACGAGTGTTTGATGCTTTTGCTGCTACTGCAACTACTGCTGTCAATGCCGCCGCAAGGTGCACGGGCGCGTGCGGTCTTCTGCACGAGCTGACGGATCTGGCGGACGTCTCCGGTCTGCGCGGCTCGATGCAGCAGCTGCACGTCACGGACGTCACTGTCCGAGGCCGGCGACATGGCCCCCTCGTCCTCCGTCACGGGACTGCCTCCACGCTGACTGCTCGAGACGGTCGCGTGCATGCGGCAACGAGGGCAATGGACCAGCGAGCGGCAAAGACTGGACACTCACTTGCTCGCGTCTGGACTACACGACTAGACAGATAGACAGGCAGATAGACAGGCAAACAGACAGCGCAGAGCGGAGCAGGTGCTACGGTCGCTGCTGGTCCGTCATCACGCCCGACTCGGCGGCCGCTCGTGCGCTCGTGGCTCTCGAGACGGCTGCCGGCCGTCAGACGGCGCGACGACCGCCGCGGGTGGTCCGTGACTGGGCACAGACAGAGGCTGACGCGCGCGAGAGGCGGAGCTCGGCGAGTCTCGCGACACTGCAACGTGCGACCGCTGCTCAGAGGCCTTTACGCGAGCAACGGCGTCGAGCGATTGGCTGTCTCTCGTTCGATTTCGAACGCCTGCGCCCATTGGGCACGAGGAAGCGCTGGAGCTCGTCGCAGCTGTGACGAACCAGCGACTTGACGACTGCTGCCTCCCCCTCTGTTGGAATACTCCCGTGGTCCCTCCCTGTGAACGAACGGTCATAGAAAAGGCGCACTCGGTGGCGTCCCACTCAAAAAATCGACACGTCGTGTGTTCGTGGCACAGAAGTTCTTCTTTCCCTAACAATCGGCTCCTGCTACACAGCACGCAGTGGCACCGCTCCCACCACTACTCTCCGCACGGTAGAGCACGATGCGGGTGGCATAGTCTCACTGCGGCAGTACCGTAGACTGAGCCGCTGTCTCCGTGGCGCTCTCGCCCACCTTCAGACCCTCGAGCGTCCTGATAAGTAATGCCTTCTCCTCAATGAACTGCGGGTCCTCTGCATCGATCGACAGCAATCCACGCACAAGAAACTGAACGTCACGGATGTACACGCATGACACGTCGTTACCAGAAACGAGGTCGTACCTTTGTTGTTCTGAAAGTTCTTCAGGTACGCAATCAGCTTCTCGCGGTTGTTCACGAGGATCTGACTGATCGCTTCAGGCTTCTTCGGGTTGGCCACAAACACTTTGAACACGTGGAACGCCTCGAACTGGATGTTCGCGCTCGTATCACGCAGCAGGTTCATCATCATCTTCAAATTCTCCTTCTCCCTGATGCACAAAGCCATGTCAATCATCTGTCCTGTAGCCCTTCATCCGATTTTGTGCCGCTCACCCGATATACTTCATCATGATGTCGAAATTGGATCGATCAAGCAGGATCTCGCCCAGTAGTTTCAGCGATTGCCGCCGGGTGACGTAATTCTCCGACATCAGAAGACTATTGTACTTCGAAAAGACTGTATCGAAGTTGGACGTGAAGAAGGTAGCAGCCAGTGTCTTGTGGCGCGTGAACAGGTCTTTGAACGTCGCAAACGCGTCCGAGCCAACTTCAAAGTTAGGCAGGTGCACGTACACGTCAAAGAACTTCCACAGATCGGGAGAATACAGGATCTTGCCCGCCACGACTTCATGTCGAATGGACTACAGCGTGCACAAACGAATCAGTACACTAGCAGTATCCACACAAGCCCATCTCTTGCTGCACAATCGAAAGCTCCCGGTACCTCACGCAGCATGGTCCCGCAGTTCAGCGCGATTTCAGGGTTCTCGTACCCTGCGACAAGCACCGACAGAATGCCAGACTGACGCTCCACGTAGCTCACAAAGCCCGCAAGATCGCGACGCATGAGGTTGTTGTACACCTGTGCAAACTGCTTGCGCGCTTCAAACGGCAACTTTTCCAGCCCGGAAATGAGTTTCGGCACGAGTTGACTCGCAATCAGCAGCTCCGCCAGTTGCGCGCACTTCTCCGCCTTCACCTCCTGCTCCCCGTCCCCATACAGCAGCAGCTTCATTTCACTCAAGCGCTTTGTGACCTCTTCCACGGCCTACAGCAGATGCAAAAAGTCGATACAACAACAACAACAAACGGTCTTTCAGCAGAGCAATATCACGGGCCGATACCTCTGCACTTAGCAACTCACCGTTCCGTCTTTCGACGGTTTAGCAGGTGCACAGGGGTCCGCGAGCGCTTCCCGCAGCAGCTTTACCAGCTGATCGGGGGTTTTGCGGCGCGAAAAGAGCGACATGGCGCGAGAAGTGGTGGACGGCGACTGCGGCGGCGGCGACGACGGGCGGCCTGCGGGACAAAATAAAACACACGACCGATGTAAAATGTGCGATTGGCAGGTTATAACGAGTTTTAGCAGCGTGTCCGACAAACAGCTGTACAATGGGGTTCGTTTATACGAAATAGGAACGAACTGAATGCAGGCAATTTTGCGCATGCATTTGGGTCCTCATGCGCAAAACAGCATTTGTTGCCTCTTTTTCGAAGATAGAAACGCTATGCACACGATGTGGTCGACGTATTTCTAAGGTTGCAAATCCACGCGGCTACAGGTTTTGGCAACCTCAAAACAGTGGCGGCTTCCCATAAAACCTCATTGGAGCGTGCAGCTGCATAATTTTACATGCATTAGTAGTGATGACGGCCGAGCTGATGGCTGCGTAAGTGCAAGAGGAGTGACGACGGCAAGCGGTCGATAAAAATCACTGCCTGCTTCCTCGTACGCTTCAAACGGTCGAATAGATATATTCGTAAAAGAGACTTTACGTCAGCGAAAGTTCGACGATCGATTCGTCGACTTAGTTTGGCTTGTACGATACAATAACAAATTTGCTGTCATCCGCTGTAGTACGGCGGAGAGCTCCGATCAACAAAGTCGGATGAAGACCTCGTTCATCCGACAAGCGGTAATAGTTTCGTTGTCGACTTACTGCCTGTCAAATACTGCAGTGCCTCAAGTGGGCGCCGACAAAAAACAACGCCACGGCAAACTGGCCTATTTTCAGTTTAAAAGGGTCATGATGACGTTACACATTAGTCACACCTACATGTATGCGCTTGAACTGACATTCCATGGCTGGTGCCTTCATATCTGCCTTTGCCAACGGACTTCCCGAGGAACCCTCTCCACTTGCCTGATCCAGTTTATAATTCGACGTCCCATGACGACGACGTTGACGAGACGACGACGTTGACGAGACGACGACGTTGACGAGACGACGACGTTGGCGGAAACAATTTAATTCTGAGCGTGTAAATTCTCGATCTGTTGGGCGCCTTGGATGCAGTACTTGCCGGAGGCGCTAATGTTGGTAGTATTAGAAGTGTGTTGCCAATACCGAAGTCGTTCTTGGACTTGCGGCTCGATGATGGTAAACCGCGAGGGTTTACATTGCGTGTGAATGCTTGGACCACACAAAGTTTGTTGTATGGAACATGGCATTCGTACACTTTATGACATCAATTCGGACGCTCACCTTCCATTGGCTCTTTTTCGGTATGAGCTTGTACGTGTTGTCTGAAACACCCTTCCCAACCTCTTCTTATCAATCTCCACCTTTAACCACCGTCTGACATCCGTCCACAAATTTACACCTTGATCTTCAACCGTCAGTTTTGGTGTATCGGTGAGTGTTTGGTGATCCACTCACGATCTGTCTCCGCTGGTGGTTGACAAATTGCCGTGTCTCAGATCCACCCAGACAAATCACCTAGTCCCAGACCCACCTTGACGGATTGAATTGAGATAGTGCCGGATCGGTCGGGACGGGGTGGATTACCGATCTCATCAGTCGATACATCATTCCTGTTAAGTATCGTCCACACACACAGGTGTGCACACCGTTGTTTCCATTCCATCAATCAAATGCTCCGCGTGCCATAAATCTTGATCTTCGTATGGGAGAGGTACGACAAACGAGGCTGGGCTCCATACCAGTGGCACCTGGTCCCAGATCAAGACCGTGGTGCCTGGACATTCATCGATATGATATAGAAGCCAGGTGCGCTGCCCAGCAATTTGACGTCACGCATCCGTATCTTTCCCCACCTCAAATGGACAGGGATCAATGGCGTCGTTTTCAAGAGTGACTCTATCACAACTCCAAGAGTATGTCGACGCCTTTGGCCGGTATCGCTGGCTTAGAGGGTGGGCTGCTTCTCAAGTTGCGTCACCTCATCAGGATACGAGTCGGCTTACGGACTAAATGTACATTTTGTCAAATTTGCTTGACTTTAAAAATGGTGCCCGGGATAGTATACGCGGCTTGGCACCGGGAGCCTCGTCGCCATAGACCACACGCTTGGTGTATCCAAGAGACACACGTGCACACTGAAGCTGAGGATACAACGCTGTGTTTAAGCAGGCATAGTTTTAGGTGTCAGTATCGGGACGTCACGTACGCTCTTTATCGTACTGGGGTATTGGATCATCCGAATAGGCCTGAAGTTCCATTCTTCTTACTTCACAATCAGCGGGACGCACGGGGGTGCGGTTTCTTGAGCGCTGGAATCCACGGGTCATCGCGATCTTCCTAGGGGAAGTGGTGCTCGTGAATGCGTACGTGCCAACATTACGTCTGGAAAGTGAAGCCTGTTACATCCATACTTACCTGTAACCTGGCCCTCTGTAATAAGATTCTTCCCGACGATTTTGATTGCATTTATGGCGTCCTAACCTACCAATTTAACACTAATCGCTCCAACAGGTCCGAATGCCCGGTCTTGGACGTCGTGGTTGCTATCTCTTGTTTAGTCAATGCTCATTACTTTGAGAGTATGTGGATGACAATTTTACCGATGCTTTTGTTGACCATTGCACCTACTGGGACGAAAAATGTGCCATTCGCACTGATCTATTTCTGTATCGTGCGGACTGGATTAATCGCGTACAGTGGGTAGAGACGATCGCCTACAAATTAGTCAAACCACCAGGAAGTCAATACATACTTACGAGACCCGGCAGAGCCTCGTTCTTCTCTCCGCTACGGTCAGGTGGGGTGTCCATTAATCGAGTCGGATACACTGAAGTAATACCATAGTTCGTCACGGATATGGACGGCATATATATATATATATGTTGGGCTACTCCAACGTTAACGTGATACCTCGAAATTGCAGATCGTAAACGCTGTATACGTCGAATTAGTTTACGCGGTTGAAGCAGCGTCAAAATTGGCATCGCCACAACTTAGATAGACGAAAGCATCAACACTTGTCAACAGGGCTTAATATTGATACATTGTACTATAGAGGGCCTACGGCAGGAAGTTATTGTGAGACGTGATTTATATCTCGCCAGGACAACGGAAAGGCTGAGGTCTCGCTTTCACAGGGTAGATGGATGAGAATGGGATCATACTATCACCACCATTTGTGTCTTCACGACCCGTCTATATACTCGTCATATGACGACGAAGATACATTTACATCGAACGGTCTACGGTCGTCACTGTGGACCATTCGGATGCATCCATCAAAGTGAGTCTCTCGATGTATAGTCTGCCGCTAATATTTGTACGAATTTCTACTGGTCATGTAATGTTGCCAAGTAGCAATAAAATGATCATGGATGATTTACGGTAGCTAAGGTTCTAACGCCGGTCAAAGGTTTTCGTAAACATAAATCGGCAGGTAGCGAAGACTTGAACAACGACTTTTGTAAGGACAAGACGTCCCATTTCGCCTCAACCTTTATACAAATCAGCAATCAAATTATGGGGGGCCCGAATCCTCACACCGTCTTTTTTTCAACGCTTTTGAGGTTTCTTGCGTAAAGCACATCGCCAATTTGAATTTGCAGGGCAGCACATTCGATTTATTCCAAGGTTCCAAACTGATGCAACGGCCACCTTCCTCGTCAATGGGGAACAAACTAGTCAAATTGAGGTCCTTTCGGGGTTTCGTCAGAGCTTACCACTAGCCTATCTGCTCTTTCTCGTCGTGGTGAAGTTGTTGGTATTAGCGGTGCGACAATTTCCAGAATTGAGCAATTTTTCGATACCAAACAGTAGTACGGATACGCACATTTCTCGGCATTTGTGGACGATTTGTACGACTTTTCTCAAAAAAGCACATCACTTTGAGATGTCCCTCATCTTTCTCGGTTCGGTGCAATATTCTTTCTATAAGCCAATCCGTCCAAGAGTAAGCTTATTTTCTCGAACAAGAGGTTGCAAATTCAAACAACGAAGGACATCTCAGTACTGCATCCAACATATACGGTGCGTCATATAGGATATAACGTTGAAACAAGATATCCGTATAATCGCAATTTGGCACTTCCAGTTATAAAGATTCCAAGACGCCTCTTAGAAGTGTCAAGAGTGGAAACAAGTGTGGCAAGTCGGGTGATGATTCCTAACTCCAAATTATTTCCTTCTCTACTGTAACTTTCGACTACTATCGATATGCCGGTATGGTCGCGACGGGAGTTTTATAATCTGTACGAGGCATTTTTGTGGGATCACGAAACATAAACAAAGGACAGTACACCCAAGATGAAGCCATACATGCTGTGCACTCTGTCAAAATTGGGAGTAGTTGAGGTAGCCTCGTTGAAGGTCGCTTTAAATCTTAGCGGACTATTATACATTGGCTTACGCGGGCTCGCGACACGTGTTTAGAATACGGTGTTAATCGTCGTATCAGGGTCGAACTACATTTTTGAGTTTTGACGTTCACGGCAGGGCTCAATTGGACTTGAGGTCCTTCTTTTCGTTGAATACGTCAACGGATCACTGTAAAAAAGACTTGGACAAGTTTCTCCAACGCACGGCGTAACAATCCAGCCAACTGCGTCATAAAATTAGTCTGAACAGCTCCACTTTACAAGAAAACGATGGTAGGTGGTAGGATTGTGATGAATGGCCTTCTTATATCATCATCGTCCTTGTCCGGCTGCGGGAGCCTCTAATTACCCTCAGCCGCGAGCTCTTTACTAACTGTGGGGAAACCTCGGCTGGATTAATAGCCCGTGTATCCGGGAAGACCGGAAGCAGCGGCTGCAATCCTACCAATACGACAGGATCGATTCCTGGTCCATTTTGGAATTATAATTTAGCGGACAGGCCTAAACGTGCATGTTCTCAACGTCGCAGCGCTTAGATCGAGCAATTTCACCCCCACCCCTTGTAGTCCAGAATACTTTATTGATCCACCGCAATCTCGCCGGCTTCACCTTCCGTTCACATTGGGCAGCTATTAACACCGAAACTCTAATTGGCCTTACGTATTTCGCCT